TAAGAGACAGTATATATATATATAAACTTATTATATTATCCTTTATTTAATTTATAAATCATTGATTAATTTATATTGAGAAGGTTTTGTTTTGACATCATCATATATGATTTGTTGTTTATATATTAACGGTTAATCTTTCATGTCAATTTTTTTAACCATGATTATCAAATCGATGTCATATTTAACCATCAGAACATATGAACATGATGCTCTTAGCTTTGTCGAAGGTAATAAAACATATGATGAGAGAAATAACTTGATTTGTGACACCCGGGCAATGATGAAGGCGGGAGTGACGCTGGTGCAAGAGGCATGAAGTGCAAGGGGTACAGACAAGGAGCGGCTCCTGGCAGTCCTCGAGTGGAAGGGACACATGGATGAATCGAACATACACCGCCGGAATGAGAGGGATCTAGAGACTGTGTAGGTATGAGACTATACAGTTGAAGGATAGCTTAAAGGGATTGATTTGACTACTCATATCACCAAATGCATTTGTTTTTTGGTAGCCTAACTCATAAGAACTCCATGGTTAAGCGTGCTTAGCCTGGAGTAATACTCTCTGTAAGTTGCCGGGACGTTACAAAATGGTATCAGAGCCTAGCCTCTCCTAGTACGGTGTGGTTCGAGGACGAACCAGACGGAAGCTGGTGGGCATGTGATACTCGGGCACTGATGAAGGCGAGGAGTGACGTCGGTGCGAGAGGCATGAAGTGCAAGGGGCACAGACAAGGAGCGGCTCCTGGCAGGCCTCGAGTGGAAGGGACACATGGATGAATCGAATATACACCGGAATGAGAGGGATCTAGAGACTGTGTAGGTATGAGACTATACAGTTGAAGGATAGCTTAAAGGGATTGATTTGACTACTCATATCACCAAATGCATTTGTTTTTCTGTAGCCTAACTCATAAGAACTTCATGGTTAAGCGTGCTTAGCCTGGAGTAATTCAGGGATGAGTGTCTGTAAGTTGCCGAGACGTTTCGTGATGAATTTTCAAACAAGTTTGTTTTATATGTCAAGAGAAAACATGATTGCTCACATATCATGTCAACGAAGAAAAAAATTTATATCTAAAAATGAATAGAAGATTATTTGCTATATTATTAGTCTTACCACATTGTCCAAGTCAAATATGATTGAAATTCTACAAGTAAATTGATGGGAAATTTCAGACTTTTCTTAAGTTATACTTTATCTTCATGTCCAATACACACAAATAATCAATTATATGTGATTGCTTCTATATTAAAAATAAAAGAGACATATCTTTTTGTTACATATATAGTTTTTATTTGACTATCAATCTATATTATTTTATTGTTCTTTCAAAATTTTAGATCAAGATATCTATTTTAGAGTGGCGACAATCGTTTTCATATTTATTAGACAAAAAAAATTATTTGTTAATTATGTGAGATTTTCGTATTAATAATCTATTATTTTTATTATGGGAATATTTTTTTACTTTTTAAAATATTCAAAATGTCAGGAAGTTGTTATTATATTATTTTAGTAAAGTTTGTAATATTTTATTTTACTAATATAAAACTATTAAAATAAGTATTATAAATATTAGAAATTTGAAAATTTTAAAGTTAAAAATTTATATTTAGATAACTAAAATTTAACTATGTTAGTGCAGCTAAATTAATTGGAAAAGCATTCTCTAAACTTACAATATTTAAAATAATCATCCCAAAAGAGAAAGAAAAGGATAATATTCTTCTCCATATATTTGGTTTTGTTGATACACAACTTTTGTCAGCATAAGATAATGAGTCAAAGTGGTGCTTTAATTTTGGCTGCACTTATACTTGTGTATCTAATTTAGTTGATAATATAATTATATAAAGTTATGTACTTATTTATATAAATTCAAACATAAATAAAATATTACAATACTTTAAAACATGCATAGATATTATAACTCTAATTTTAAAAATATATTATCTAAAATATTTTTCACCTTATGTATTTTATAGAAACTTGTTATTATTAATAAAACAGACGTGTATTAAATATAATGTAGATATATTTTTTAAAAATTATAAATATTTATTACTCTTTTCTATAAAACTATAATATTGTATAATTTTAATTATACAAATAATTTTATTAATACTGATTCCACCCTAACTAAAATATTAAACATTGAATCACTAAATAGTTTGTTTGAATGACCAATTCAACCTTTAATATAATGATCTTTATTGGTTAACTGGTAAGAGGGAGTTAGAATCCATTTCACTGCTCCATTCCATTCATACATATGAGATTATATACAAAATACTATTAAACCTATTAAAGATATAAGTGTGCTATTATTATTATTATTATTATTATTATTATTATTATTATTATTATTATTATTATTATTATTATTATTATTATTATTATTATTATATCTGCTTTTTATTGTTTGCATGAATTATTAGTAGAAAATAAACATTTTATATTTTTATTTATTTTAAAAAATACTAATAATTATAATTATGTAAAAATATATGTGATTTGAAATGTAAGTATGGAATTATGGAAATATATTACGTAAAAAGAAAATATTAATAACTATTTTATCTGCAATAAAAATATGGGAAGTTCATTTTAGTATTTACATAATTTTTTATTTATTTGTTTTTTATGATTAATGTAATTAAAAATAGAACAGAGATATAACATAAACAAAATTCCTTTATAAATGATTACAGATTATTTATTAATTAATTAATATACAATAATACGTTATTGGTAAATAAAATAGCCGGATGGTTATTACGGCGTCGTTTAGATGAGTCGGAAGGGAATACTATACATGGATGAAAAAGGCGAATGTTAAAGCGGCATAGTTCAGCGCCTACTGCATTTTGGAGCGATGGCTGCTGCCGTCAGTAAGGTTTCCGGCGACATCATCTCGTCAAGCTTCGATCGTATCCGACCACCGTCTCCGCCGCCTCCTGATTCTTCCCTTCTCTTAGCTACCAGACCTTCAAGGCATTTCTCCCTGCGTCTTATCTTGAGCTTATTTCAGATTACTCTTTTTCATTGTTTAACACTGCTCTTACAGATTAGGGTTTGAAGTTTTAAATTGACACGATTATTATGTGTTTTGTTTGTTGCAGACACGCGGTATCGTATTGGACGTGTTCAAAGCTTTGTGCAATTTGCTTTGTTGCTGGAATGGTTTTCGGATACTCTCTCAGGGGACGAGTCAAGCGTTGGGCTTCTAACATCCTCAAGAAGCTCAACTGAAACATAATTGAATTGCAGGTAGTCGTTTAGTTCGATCACGGTTCACTTTCATAGATTTATGTGAAAGAATAGGTAATCGTTTAGTTTCAATTTTTCTTCGTTTTTAGATGTTCCGTGACGGTTTATGTTTTGTAAGGATTTTGGGATGAGTTTGAAAGTCACGGATTCAACTACAAACCTACACAAGGGCTTATTAATTTAGGTGATTTATTTCTAGCCATTTCGCGCACAATATCAACGCATGTTGTGCTTCTAATTTCAGTTTATGTGTGGCACAACTGCAGAATTTTCTATATTCTTCACCACATGGTTTTGTCCCAATGCTTAAAGTGTTTTTACTGTTAAGGTTTTCGGGGTGAAGCATGATGATTTTTACCCCTAAAAATGGACAGTGTTTAGAGGGTTTTATTGCCTTACTTTACTTTATAAAACTAGTTCATTATTGTTTCCCAAGTAAAAAATGTTAAAAATGCTTCCTCGCTTCAAAACCCCCTCTCTTTTCCTCTCTAAATAACCCAGCAAGTTGAGTTGAATTACTTTATTGGTAATTTATAGATGAGTATGGTCGCTAGTATTTTGATTCAATGATACGAAAATTATTTAGTTTTCAGTTTTTTTTTCTTTTTAAAAAAAGAATCGGAAGGCAAGTGGTGGAAACGGACATGCAAATTATACTATATTTTCTACTTTTGAGGTTCAATGTTCTGGAGATATTTCCTCTGTCCTACATCACTCCTTTTAGACATTTTTCTCCCAAGGATCTCAGAAAACTCTTGAAATAAGGAAACAGAAATGAAAGGGCACACAAGCCACCATTGTCCACTTTTCTAGAATTGCAAGCAAATAAACTATTATTAACTACAATTGAATGGCAATTCATTTTAATATCTTCCAGTCAATTTTACTCTAGTTTCATGTAGATAATAACTCGAAGTTAAAATCAGACTGTGATAGACAATGTCAAACCTGTGATAGACAAATATCGAACAACAAATTCAAAATGCAAACCAAGCTTTTGTTGTTTCAGGTTCCAACTTAACCAACACAAGAAATCTACAATCGAGTTGGTTTGAATCCACACTCATTCCAAGAAGCCTCCATATCTATTTATAAATGCAGATATTTTTGAAGTGCTCGTTCGCTCAGTCACTTGTTATTGATACAAAAAAGTACAAACAATTTATTGACATCCAAAGTGTAGCCCGTCGAAAATTACATCATGATCTCTCTGTCATTGATAAATTGACGTGCTCTGTGATCACGGAAAATACAAAAATAATGCCTGTGATCAATAAATGGTAATTTATCTAAATCAGTGAGGCTACAAAACTGAGAAAGCTACCCCCTTTGCATCGAACCCAAGTCATTTACTAATGTGGTTTCGGCACAAAACCATCAACAGCGAAGTTCCGAGTAGCAGCAGGAACGGCTAACCGAATTCCATCAAGTTCAGGTTTTGCAATAACTTGGCAACCCAGACGTGATCTGCATATTTTCCATAATTAGTCAAGGTCACATTTAAGGGTAGCAAAAACGGAAAATGAACATTTCCAATCCTGAGTTCATGAATGGTTAACCCACGTTTCAGTAAGCCCAAAAGCTAGATCTAACATGTCGTTTTCCTCATCGGTTGGATCTTCCAATTTATTGTAATGTTCTACGTCCTGCACAAAAATCAGTTATTTGTCCCTCTTGTAAATGGAACGCGGTAGTTCAAAAAACAAACTAATAATAACTTCAAGCAACATTTCACTACATAGATCACCCATGATGTACCATGACTATAACATGGCAAGTTGAACACGCAAGCGAGCCCTCACATGCTCCTGCAGTAACATTAAGTAAGACATCATCTCAACCAAAAGGAAAAGTAAGCTGAATCAATTACGAATACGCTTGGCCACTTCAGAAATGGCCCTACCTACTTGACAGTATGCAAATCGAAACGAATCGTTATGTCAGCAGAATTGAGAAGAAAATAATAAAATTCAAAACTTAAAGCTCTTGCCTTCTAGTTCAATGTCATTTTCATGAGCAGCTTCTAACATAGACATTCCAACAGGGACTTTGATATGGGTTTCCTCACCATCCTTATCAATAAACGTTACAGATATCCTGCACAATCTCAAAGATTAAGGTGAAAAAAGACACTTGTGGAAGACTTTTAATATACTCACGACGAACAATTGTCATCTAATATAATATATGGCAAGGTACGACAGTAATGATGTAATCTGTCCTAACGGGAGTTAACACTGACTGATCTCTAACGGTGTGGGAAAGCATTTGACACGTAGGAGGATTATTTCCATCGTACAGGGACCTGGAATTTTTCAGGGAATGCGACCAGCTGCGACAACTGAGGCTCAAAGATTTTGTTATTGTTGCCATTTTGGTTAAAGTATCAGAATCACACAGCAACCTCACTCCTGCTCAGATATCATACCATACCCCCAAGGCTAAACAATATGAAATCATGGTTGGTTGCACAAGAAACATGGAACGGTAGAGCAGAGTGCAAGCCAAATTTTTATTTGATATTAACATTCTCTGCGCTTTGAAGTTCTCACTCAGATGCCTTGAAAAGTTTAAACACTGGAAGAAAAATATATTAAACTTCCATCAAGCTCACTACACAATGTCAGTTCTTAAGCCTTTCATTATGGGCGTTTAAAATATTTCATATGCTGTATGATAAAGTAGATAGACATCCGCTGACCTTAGATTGTAACTCAATAACCACTTATCTAGCTAAAAATTAGACAATAAGAGAAACGGCAAATTTATAACACTTAGATTAGGAGGGTTCATGTTAAATGACTAAATCATGATTATTAGCTAGAAACAAAAAATTGGCAGTTAACAATTAGTCAGCATAATTTACCCATGTTGCGTGTCATAATATAACATCAACACTGAATAATAACCAATTTTGCCTGGGGTTCTTATACAATTCAAAGTTTTGCATTTTAAGTCCGTTAATCATAAAAGTAACAATTGAGTCAAAATTACAATTATAACACAAACACGATAAATAGTAAGTTTTTGCATGCTATATTGACATGATATTTACACATTCACAAAAGGATCACATACTCCCACAAATCAGTCATCTCAAATAGAAAGAACGTACGTTTCTTTTTCTTCACTCCCTTCCTCAGTAGTGTTGTTAGTAGTCGTTGTTGAAAGGAAATTATGTCTTTCCATCATGGCTCCCTTGTGTAACTTAGTAAATGAATGCTGTTGAAACTAGTTAAAAAGAACACAAAATAATCACTCATAAAAACAGATAAGCATAAACCAATGCCATAAGAAAGTAAAAATTTAATAAACCAATTTCTCCAGTAATCTGGATGCAAATGTACACAATTTCTATAAAAATTTGATCGCACAAACAGTTGACAATTAGACAAAGGAATGTGATATTTTGACATCTACTAAGAAAAAACAATTACTTGACAGCTCAACATATCAATGTTCTAATCACATTTCTTTTATTTTTTAACTTAAAGTACTACTACATATTTATTATATTATTAAAATGAGTTGTCAAAGGAGTGTTTTTTGTTTTGGAGGGTGTCGAAGTATATTTTTGTTTGACAACGGGAATATTTAAAATGTCAAGCATTATAAACCCTCATTAACATAATCAGTCCTCTCTCCAATCCAAGTAATTAAATTGATAGAAGACTTTCAGATTTCTGGGTTACTACGTATACAAAATGCTAATTGTTCCAAGAATTCAAAGACAACCAAATTCCTTCTAGTATTAAAACAAATTAAATAAATAAACTAATACAAAAAACAGAGAGTACAAGGTTAAATTATCTTCATCTTCGTAATGGCCATTATCAGAAATAGAGCAAAACATTGTCAAAATAGGGTCCAATTTCTCCCATCCTCTGCTAACCACAAACTTGTTGGCCCCTTCCTTTAGCTAAAAGATGGAGAGACCATTTGCAATAATGGAAAAGATTAAGGTCATTATCATACTCCCATAACTCATTCAATATCACCAATCTTTATAATTGACAAAAGATGTCCAGACTAGTTTAACAGTTATTTTGTCATATTACAGATGGCCTCACATTTCAAAACACGAACACCCACTTATCATAAGACAATAAACTAGTTCATATCCAGTTTTTCTTTAAAACAAATCTAAAAACCAGGCTGGTATCTCCCATGGTAAGCTCAAGCACGCTTATTTTTGCTATCTATTGAGATCCTAAAACCAGCACCAGATTGCCAAACTTAATAGAAATTGAAAGCTGAAATTACAATAGGAGGAATAACAAAAGGAAAATACAAATTCAGGGTATTGAATTACTAACCGGAGATTGCAGGTAACGATATCTTCCTGTTCGAACATATCCTACTCCACACAAGGATGTACAATTCCCTGGAAAATTAAAAAAACAGACAAATAATTAGTTGAATAGGTTCAATATAATCAGATGTTCTCTACATGCTATGAACTATGTAGAGAAGATAAAAATAACAAGTAGAAGTACTTGTGCGGAGGTGTTTAGCGACCGAAGCTCCGACTCTAGCTAGTTTGGAATTTAGCATAGTGGTTTTAGGGGTTTAAGAAACCCTAGAAATTGTAGAGGAAAAAAATTGATGTAAAAAACTGTTACAAAAAATAAATGAAACAAGTTGAGAGGCCGAGAGAGGAACAGCTATTATGCGCCGAAGAATGAGAAAAACCGCAATCAGGGGGAACAAGTCGGAGAACAGAGAGATCTTACATTCTAAAAGCCCAACAACAAGGCCCGAAAAGCCCAACCATGAATTTATGCACAACTTAATATTTTTTAATGTCCTAACTTTTGGTATTTTCTAGTTCAATATTATAAACTAATTCTTGAAATTTATGGGTCCCTTTTTAGAATATTTTTTAATTGTAAGTATTGTATTTTTAAAATTTTACAATCATTTAATTTTTTTTATAAGTAGCCTTTTCTTTAGTTTTCATTTTGAATAAAAAAGATTCATATTAAAATAAATTTAAATGTGTATATTTGTATAATGGTAGAAATACTACAATTATGGATGACAACGGGTCGGGTAGGATAAAGATAGTGCCTGCTTGCAACTCCCTACCAGATAAAACTGTAACGTTACTCGCGTTGGTACCCGTTTAAAAAATACCAGCGAGTATTTTAAAATCCGCGGTAC